GAGAGAGGGAACACAAGCAGGGGGAGTGGGGAGAGGGAGAAGCAGGCTTCCCGCCAAGCAGGGAGCCCGATGCGGGGCCTGATCCCAGGACCCCAGGATCATGACCCGAGCCGAAGGCAGACACCCGACAACTGAGCCACCCAGGCGCCCTGAATCACTTCTTTTAGTAGGCAGACTATTCAATATTAACTGCAAATTTAAGTTTCCTAGCAACCAAATAAGCAATTACAGGAAATAACCATACTGATAATGGAACAGTTTGCAGAAAAATAGGTTGTGAGGTACATACTGTGCAGTTGGCCTAATTTGTCTTACTTCTTTAATTGAAACGTTTTCTTTTGAGCCTTCTCCAGAAGAGGTCAGCAGAATCCTAGTTACCAGTTAGTTGGCTTGCTGTGCTTGGTTGGTTTGCATTGTTTTCATGTCTTATTTTTTTGTATAGGTATTTTGTTTCAACATCTTCAGATCTGTCTTTGGGCTCTTAAATTAATCTCATTGCCAAGTCTAGAGTTAGTGTTGGTTTTTAAATAATGGGAATAGAGGTATTTTTTTATAAAGTGCTGTTTTTACTTAGTTCTAATATAGTTTGAGGTGGCTGCTGCTTAAACTTGGTAAAAATACTGAGATTTAGATTATGAGAACACTAAAGTGCTGATTTTGTTAATATGGAAGTTGTAAGAGTTATAAAATAACAATTTTGGTCAGTTATTTAAGCATTTCCTTAAATTTTCAGAATCTGGTAATGAATGTCAAGTATGTTGCCTTTTTTACGTTTTATATTATTTGGTCTTTTTATTCAGTTGATCCACCATTTAACTTTGATCTGTAGATTCCTTATAACTGAACCTAAACACTGATCGGCTAATGTTTCATTTAAAATAACACAGACCAACCAGCAAACAGAAACATCCAAGCAAACAATAAATATCTTAGTCATAAATTAGAGACTTTTCCTATCTCAGCTGTTGTTATTTTTTCTTTACTCTTTTACTTGTTCTTCAAGAATATTCCAGCCAGGGGCGCCTGGGTGGCTCAGTTGTTAAGTGTCTGCCTTCGGCTCAGGTCATGATCCCAGGGTCCTGGGATTGAGCCCTGCATCGGGCTCCCTGCTCGGTGGGAAGCCTGCTTCTCCCTCTCCCACTCCCCTTGCTTGTGTTCCCTCTCTCGCTGGGTCTCTCTCTGTCAAATAAACAAATAAAATCTTTAGGAAAAAAAAGAATATTCCAGCCAATACGGATTTTTGGCTGGCAGTCTAGCTGATCTTCAGACTTTAATTGATAGTAAAATAAATAGCATTTTCAGTCCCTTAATAAAGTTAACATGGTGTTAGTATTTGGCAATGCAAAACTTCAACTCCTTTTTTCTCTTTTTTGTGAAAATACATTATCAAAGGTAAAGCTTCTCAAAGCAGGTCAGAACAAAATATTGTAGTAATAAATGGTCTAGGATATGAACACTTAAAAAATCTTGATTAGGATCAAAAGTGCTTTTTATTGATATATTAAAATAATGTTCTACAAATAATTTTTATGATCTCTTTTATATCATTACTAGGTAATAGCTAAGAGAAAAGAGGATTCTGGAAAGATAAAACTTTTGCTTCATTGGATGCCTGAAGACATGTAAGTATTTGGAATACTGTGTATAATGAATAGACTCTTATTTTTATTAAAATTTTATACTAAAAAATTACTTAAGTTATTGGATTTGAATATCATAAAAGAATTACAGATATTAAACTGCAAAACATTTTGACTTGTCAGTATTAAAAAGATAATCTGTGAAAGCTCTTAGAGTACCTGGGTCAAGGTATAAGCTTTACAACTAGCTTTTTTACTGTTTTGTGGGTTTTTTTGTGTTTTTTTTTTTAAAGATTTTATTTATTTATTTGACAGAGAGAGACACGGCGGGGGAGGGACACAAGCAGGGGGAGTGGGAGAGGGAGAAGCAGGCTTCCCGCTGAGCAGGGAGCCGGATGCGGGGCTCGATCCCAGGACCCTGGGATCATGACCTGAGCCGAAGGCAGACGCTTAATGACTGAGCCACCCAGGCGCTCCTTTTTTACTGTTTTTAATAAAAGTTGTAATAGCATCATTTTTAGGATGTGATTATGTGATTATTTTTAGGATTTTTCAGTGACCCTTAGGTAGTATGCAAGCAGCCTTAGTTGTGCCTTTGTTTGAATCGTTTATTTAAAAAATTTCTGAATGTTTTCTACCACACAAGGTATTTTGAAGAAAAATCAGTTGGCTAGTTTTCTAGCAAGTTATGTTTTTCTGGCCCACATGCTCCTTAATTAGACGTTTCTTTCTTTTTTTTTCCCCAAAGATTGTTATTTATTTAACAGAGAGAGAGAGCGCGCGTGCACAAGCAGGGGGAGGGGCAGAGAGCAAGGGAGTAGCAGGCTCCCCACTGAGCAGAGAGCCTGATGGTGGGGCTCCATCCCAGGATCCTGGCATCATGACCTGAGCTGAGGACAGATGTTTAACCACCTGAGCTACCCAGGCATCCCTTAATCAGACATTTCATGTTCAATTTTCCTTTTATCTTTTCATTAAAAATTTTTTTTTCTTGTTAGAAAAGGTAATGAAAGTGTATCATAGAAGTTTTGGATAAAATAAAAAACTACCAAGAATAGAATAAAGTTAAGTGGATGGAATCTCATGTATCCTTGGTTTTTCAGAAATCAGTAGTATGTGGTTAACATTTGTCTTTGTTATTAAATACCTTTCTATAATATTTTCTCATTCTAAGGAGATGTTAATGAATGTGATGTGAATTAAGAGTTCTTATTCTTTTTTTTTTTTTTAAGAGAAGGGAGAGAGGGGTGTGGAAAGAGGGGCCGAGGGAGAGAGAGAAAACTAAGCAGGCTCCATGTTGGGTGTGGAGCCCGGCGTGGGGCTTTATCTCAAAACCCTGAGATCATGACCTGAGCCGAAATCAAGAGTCAGATGCTCAACACACTGAGTCACTGGTGCCCCATGAATTAAGAGTTCTTAAATAGATTTGGGAGTTTACAATACATGCTAGCATATTGGTAAAGAAATCTAGCTTTTTTTTTAGATCTGTGACTATCAAACTGCCATTAATGTAGAACATATTTTCCACCACTTTCCCCCCTCCCCACCCAGGTTTTGTGGAAATGCTACTGTAAAATATTTTGAAATGGCTTTGTAAAATTTATTTAATGAGCTCCTTTTTAGCTGAAACATTAAAGTTACCCATTTTTCTCTACTGTTAAGAGCTATTAAAATCAATACGCAAACTGCAAAATGTTAATGGTTTTCGATACACATTGCCTTCCTGAAAGTTTGTGCCAATTATAATCCCACCTACTACATTAGAGAGCTTATTTCTCTGGCTTACTATTAATACATTGATTATTATCACAAATTTTGTATTTCTATGATTACATATAATTTTTAAACTTTTTAATCTTTGGTGAATTTTTGGGTTTGTGTCCTTTGTCTCCCCTGTCCCTTTTTCCCCAATGAGTATTCACCTGTTTCATACTGATTTGTAAGAGCTCTTTTTATATTAAGGTTAAAAACATAGTTCCTTTAAGATATATTGAAATATATGTGTATTTTTAGTATTTTGGAAATTGATCAGTCCAAATATCAGAATGCTTTTATTTGAATTTCCTGGTAGGATTAGCTTTCTTTGAATTCAGGATTTGATCACTTGCATTTTTTTACATGGGTTTTAATCTAGTGGAGTGTTTATTTCTTCATTAAAAAACTTGGTGTCAGGGGCGCCTGGGTGGCTCAGATGGTTGGGCGTCTGCCTTCGGCTCGGGTCATGATCCCAGGGTCCTGGGATCGAGCCCCGCATCCGGCTCCTGGCTCGGCGGGGAGCCTGTTTCTCCCTCTCCCTCTGCCTCTCCCCCTGCTCATGCTCTTGTTCTCTCTCTATCTCTGTGTCTCGAATGTATAAATAAAATCTTAAAAAACAAACAAACAAACCTTGGTGTCAGCATAAGGAATATAGTCAGTAGTACTATAATAATGTGATATGGTGACAGAGTAATGTAGAATTGTTGAATTTAATATGTAGTACACCTGAAACTAATATAACATTGTAAGTCAACTGTAATTCAATAAAAAATAAAAATAAAAAGCAGCTCATTGTCAAAATGTCATCAAGTCAAGCTCAAATACGAATTTTACTCCGTGAATTAAGAGTGTTTTATAATGCATGTTTCCAAGTTTGATGTGGCTTTGCCACCAGAAATTCCTGACTCATTCCCAAATTCATGCCTGAAATTTCACTGCCATTTTTTAGCTGAGACTCTGCATCCCATTGCTGTTCTTGGCTCCTGAAAAGCTTGTTAACCCAGCAGAAAAGTCTGGGTAATGTGAAGTTATATGAAGAGTAAGCTTAAGATTAATGTTATTTCATTTATGACTTGTTTTTTACATAGTCTGCCTGACGTGTGGGTGAATGAAAGTGAACGACATCAATTAAAAACTAAAGTAGTTCATTTATCAAAGCTACCCAAAGATACTGCCTTGCTTTTGGATCCAAACATATACAGGTAATTTAATTCTTGATTTGATGTTTTGCTTTTTGAATTGTAATCTTAAATCTCCCTAAATTTTGGATATAAGGTTAGGACTTATTTTTAAGTACTGAATTTCAGTACCAAGCATAGTTTGCTTTCTGGAGCTTTGTATATGGAAATTCCATCACAAACGTTTATAAATTTGTAGGATCCAGAAAGATAATATTTTGGTAAAGTTTATATGCCACTTTACTTCCCGATTTATCTTATGTAGCTTAGATTGTAATATATATAGTATTTTGAAAATAAGTGCCTTTTGTTTAAGTATGTAATTCTTTCTATAATACCAGATTTCTGTGGGTCTGGGAATATATCCCATGTGCCCTAAAATACCATAAATGGTTGAATCTTTAAACTTATACTCCACCCAAACTTTTTAGTAGAGCAGTTTAAATATTGTTGTGTTTGTTTTTAAGAGGTAGCTCAGTGTTCACATTGCTAATAACTTTCTGATCTGACCTTTGTTTTAGTGTGCTGTGCTTATGAAGGTATAGGGGGGGAAGGAGAAGAGACCAACATTTCTGACTATGTGCTGAGTCACTTTGCTAGGTGCTTTACATATACTTCATCCTCACAGCAGCCTGTGAAGTAGGTGTTACTATCTCTGTTTTACAGATTGGAAAACTGAGGCAAGAGTTTAAGTAGCTTGCCCAAGGTTACACAGATAGTATGTGACTGAACTCTCCTTACGGCCTCCATCCAAATGACATATACTAGGGTGATTCAGAAAGTGGTGAAAATGCTTAAAAGCACTCTTCATAAGCAAACTTCCTGTGTTTTTAAAATCAGTTTTAATTTGATATGTATTTTGCATAGGGATAGGTTGAATAAGAATATAAGATAGAATATAATAATTGATAATCCCAAATATGAATTTTAGCTGTCATAAAGAGACCGTGATCTATGCCAAATTCTGAAGCAGTTAAACACTTTGAAGGTTCTGTTCATTCTATGACTCAATTTTTGGAATGTTATTCAGTATAATAGGATTTCTTATAATTGGAGATATCTTCTGAGAATGAAATTTTAACAAAATGGGCCTTGCCATGTGGAAACATTGAGACTCTTGAGTTTTCCCTACTCCCCTCCCAAATTTATTTTAAATGTCTTCTGATGAAGGTGCTAATAATAAGTACCATAAAAACTTGTTTTTTTGTGGGATGAACTATGTTAACAAGAGGTTAACTAGTGTAGTAAATAGTGAAATTACCTTAAAGGAGAAGATTGAAGAAAATCCACTACCAAAAATACGGGAAAGTAACGATTTACCTTTCTCTTTATAAGAAAATAATTGAATATTCTTTATTTACTGGTACTTAATTTAGGGTTTATTTCTGCTTACTCTTTGAAGGTAGTAATTAAAATTAGCATTCTAAAAGAGTGATATTTTGGGAAAGCCACCCTGCTATTAGAACTGGTTGTAAACATCCCTTAGGCAGAGGGTTGACAAAGGGGCATGAATCTTAATTATAAGATTCAGACTAACTTCTGTGTTTCTGCCCTGCATTCTACTTCCCCCTCTCTAAGGGTCTTCCTTTTTCACAGACCAGCTTATTTTTGTAATTCTTGTGTATATAGGAAGCGAATTAGATATTTTAGTGAATATTTTTAGTGACTTAAAAAAAAAAAAGCATTCAGGTGCAGAACTACTGTCCAAAAGGGCGTAGGAATTCCATTGCATGTTCTCAAAAGTGTACATCTACAGTTCTTACGGATTTCATTTTTGGGTAGTGAACATGTTCTTAAGACATATTAAATGCATCTGTGGAGTTAATTTTCTTTAACTGTATTTCACCCCCCTCCTCCAATCCCTGCCCGGGTCATAGCATTTAATTTTGAGTTTAAACTTTCATGCTTCTACTGTTCCGGAAATTAGAATTGAGTCTTTCCTAAAGTGGTACAGATTAATAGAAGTGGCTACATTTGCTGTGGTGTAACATGTGAGCAAAGTCTGGGTTTTGATTTTGAAAACTTGTGAAATGAGGTAAAAAAGCATTTGTTCTAACTTGTTTTAGGAGAATTACTTTGTGGCTTATACACATCTCAAAATGAAACCATGACAAACCTTCCAAAAACATACTAACTTCAAAATGAAACTAAAAAGAACATAATTTATTTAAGATTTAAGCATCAGTTTTAAAGTCCTAGTTGGTTAAAGGGCATGTGTTAAGCATGAGAATCTCTTTCAGAATCAGGTTACATAAAAAGGATTTATTAAAAAGCTGTATTAGGTAACTGAGTTTGCATTCATTAAAATGTGAATGCTTTGGAAATAAATTTTAATGATCAATGATTATCACATTGCCTATATCTTATTTAATGTTTTTAATGTCTCTTTTGTACTACTTAATGTGTTTTGATTCAGTTGAATAAAAGAATATTCCTTTTCTCTTTTTTTAGAACAATGCCGCAGAAGAGGTTGAAGAGGTAAAAAATAAATAAATACATAAAAAGCAAACAAGCGGGGACACCTGCAGTCTTAGTCACTGACAATGGGTTTAGTAAAAGTTGCACATTAGAGTCAACCCCTTTCCTTTTTTTTTTCTTAAATCCAGTATTTAGAATAATATTTATGCTTAGTGTAAACATTCTGTGAATGAAGTAGGCTCTTCTGTGGAATATATTAATATATTACTGTATATCCACATTTTCATGGAATGGTACTGTGGGAGACTGAGCAAACACTTTTCTGGCAACTTAGTGGAACAGCTTCTTAAAGGCTTTGCATGCTTGCTGCTTTAAGCTGCTTTTTTTCCCCCCTTTTAGCGATTACAGTAGTTTATATTGGAAAGAAAACAATTACAACATGTGCCCTTAAAAATACCAAAAGCACTGTAAGGATATTTGTCTTGACAGTGTCTATTGATTTGAAGTCATATTAGGAAATATTTAGACAATGAAAATTATCAAGAGATAATTTACCTTTCAACTATGATAAATAGATGTGATTGGTTGCCATTTGTGTTCTTTTGCAGAACTCTGATAAGAAAAGTGTTCAATTTGTATTTAAGCAAACAGTGAACGACATTTGCAATCAACTAAAAATTCGTCTATCGAATTAGGGCTGAAAATTTCTGTTAAAGAGTGTTGCAGTATGTCTGGTGGCTCCCTTTTCAGGACTAGGGTTTTCTCATGGAGTACAGTATGTTAATATTTACCTATATAACTAATCTGTTAACGGTTTTTGAAAAACCTCTATTTCAAATTATTTGAATAATCCTCATATTTTCATTTTAACCTATATAAGCCTCTAATTTTTTTTTTTCTGAGGAAAGCATTTGGTTTATGAGTTGTTTTTTCTTAACGTAAGAAAAATTGTATTTTTTTTTTTTTTTTAAGTTTTTTCAAACTGAATCCTTTATGCACCAAAGTTGGTTTTGAAAAGGAAAATAAAATCACTTTCTTGCTTGGTAAGCAAGAAGCCATATGGATTTTTTTTAACTTACAGAAATGGAAATATGTGTAACTTGTTAGTATTGTATCAAACAAATGTTGCATAGAGATAATAGAACATTGCTTGTAAATAATTCAGCAGATTTGTAATATATTTTTATATTATGAAATGTACTGTAGATGTTTTTCTAGAGGCATGAAAGTTAAATGTATATATTATGGGTAGAAATAATATTGAAGGATATTGTAATTCACTAGTGCTGCCAGAGGAATTGTTAATAAAGCACCTTCTTTAACAATAAATGTCTTTGCAGACTTAAGGGACTATGTACTACTGTTAATATCTATAAGAACAAAACACATTGAACATCCTTCCAGAAAGTCTTTGAGGGAGGACCTATACCCATAATAGAATTATGGCACTCATTTCTGACAGTGACCGTGAAATCAATTATTTCCTTACTGTTGGAAGGACATATTGTAAAGTATATGTGGTTATATGCAGTCAAACTGCAGAAAATACTCCTGATTGAGGAGTTTTCACTTTACTACAGTGATATAAAAACCAGCAATTTTTACACTAAATTTTTTAAAGAATAGACAAAAATATAGAATTAAGCCTTTGGTTCCAAAATGGGAAAGGTTCCATGATACATAAGTCATTTCTCATTTACTTTAAAAAATTTTAAAAAGAATAAAAATTATGGGAGACTTTATTCGTTAACAGTGGGGTAAAGAGCTATATACATGAAATGAGTCATATAAAATTTAAATGAAGTGCAAATAAAAGCACTGCTACTAGAAGACATTCTGGAATGGTTGTTTAATAAGGGTATTATCCATTTGATCTGTAGCAAATGTGATTTTATTTTTGAAAAGAAAAGAAAAGCAGTGTGTTTTACTTTTTTTTTGTTTTCTTTTGCTTAAGCACTTCATCAATTGCTTTATTCTGTATCTACGAAGTAATCTGCAATCTCCTTTGTTCTTTTAAAATTTTGATTTGTTATAAAATTGCCAAATAGAAGTGTTTCAGATATATAGTTTGTACCTGTATTTTTTATTTTATTGCCTCATGTTCTTGTAAGTCATTCTTAATTGACCGATGATTGTAGACCTTGCCTGAGTATTTTTTCTAATAAAACAAAGCAAATCACATTTAGCTTCAAAATTGTAACAATTCAATTAAATTTTAAAACGACATCTGAAATACACATCTCATATTTTCTTTAACGGCACAGCAAATAAATTAGTTTTTTCATTGTTTGGAAATATTTAGATGTCAGAATCAAATTTCATGGTTATTGATTAGCTAGCCTCTGAGTACTCAATCACTCATGGTACTTTGCTGCTTATCTGACTTTGGTCTGATACTATATATTAACACACCAAAAAGAATATGGAATTAAAACGAAATAGTTTTATAACTTGTATATATACATGTATACACACATGCAATTAAGATTGGGAAATAAGTGTGAAAATTTTAACCAAAAATAGTTCATTTAGTGATGTTTACCATTTATATTCTTCCTCCTAACCCCCATATATGACGTATTTGGAATATGGCACCTGAAATTATCAGTCTCTTATTCAGAATCCATTGTATAGTTCAGCAGCAGGCAAACTGCAGCCCACAGGCGTATCCATTCATGTCCGCATTGTCTGTGACTGCTTTCTCCCTGTAGTGGCAGAGCTGAGTAGTGAGAACAGAAGGCCTGCAAACCCAAAATACTTCGTCTCTGACTTTTAAGGAAAAATTTGCCAGTTCCTGGTATAGTCGATAAAATTTTTGAAAAAACACACCTAGGCCACACAAATTAATCTACATTTTAATCTTACAGTACTAATTTTGGTAATAAGTCAGTACAGTAAATTTCAGTGAAAGTCATTTATACTTTTCAGTAAATATTGCTATATTAGGTACCTGCAACAAATGGTGTTTTTTAAAAAAATTTACATTGAATTTCTTAATAGTTACCAACATTTCACCATTTGTGTTTTTGTATCCTTAGGACTAAATGAGATTTTGTAAATCAAGATTATATTTAAATCATAAGGCACGTCTCCTCTATATAAAAGAATTTTGGAAGTGGAAAATACTGTAAAATTTAAAGTTGTTTATTTTTCTAATAAACTTTTTCCTATATAAATCTTCCCTAAAGTGGACACACATGACTTCTGAATTTCAGATGAAAGGAAATTAAGATGAAGAGTAATTACCTCTCAATGCATATTTTAAGATTTGTTTTACTCTGATTGAAAGCATTGATAATCATGTCAGTAAATCTTTGACTGTAAAACTTTTTTCCCTTTCACACCTTAATAAAATGTTTTAAATATACAAGTACTCTAAAAGGATTAGAATTTGCCACAGTTATTTAAAACATCTTTTATCGTTTGCTATTTGAATTCTTGTTTTAATAATATATGATTAACAGAAGTATTAGATACTCAGATAAAATTTAAAATGGGAAAATATGGTTGAAGTCTGTAAAATAGTTGGTGGGGGCTTTCTATATGCTTAATTTTTTAAGTCTTTAATACCTCTGCAGAGTTCTTTAAAAGGCAAACACAAATTCTTAGTTTAGGTAGCTTCTCAGTATGAAAAACTGATATTTATCTGTAAAACAAGGCCTAGGGTTGCAGACCTACAAGGAAATGCTAATAAACATATAGTCTTTCTTAGAAAGGCAGTTAAATCCTGTATATCATTTGAATGTTTGGAGTTTTGTTTTAAGACTTTATTTTTAAGTAATCTCTACAACCCATCACGGGGCTTGAACTCAAAATCCTGAGATCAAGGGTTGCATGCTCCACCGACTGAGCCAGGCACCCTGAATGTTTTGGGTTTTTTGGGAGAGGTAATGGTACATTTTGAAAATGAAAAATATTCTTCTAGAAGATGTAGAGACTATTTCTTAAAAGGATAAAATTTATTAGAAAATTTTGTACATTTTTTTAAATTCTTTTTTTCCTTTTTAAGATTTTATTTTATTTGACACAGAGAGAGACAGCGAGAGAGGGAACACAAGGAGGGGGAGTGGGAGAGGGAGAAGCAGGCTTCCCGCTGAGCAGGGAGCCCGATGTGGGGCTTGATCCCAGGACCCAGGTATCATGACCTGAGCCGAAGGCAGATGCCCAACGACTGAGCCCCAGGCACCCCCTTTTTTTTAATTCTTAAAGAATCTGTGACTTGGTGGAGGATTTTATAATTCCAGCACTAACAGTTTTATATTACTATTTTTTAAAGATTTATTTGTTTATTTGGTGGGGAGGGGCAGGGAGTAGGAGAGAGAGTCTGAAACAGACTGCGCTGAACGCAGAGCCAGACGTGGGGCTCGATCTTGCGACCCTCATCACCACCCCGATCACAGCCTGAGCCGAAACTGAGTTGAATGCTTAACCGACTGTGCCAATCAGGCGCCCCAACAGCTTTAATATAAATAAGGGTCTGCAGCATTTTTTTTTTTTCTTTTTAGGTTAAGAGTATTTTGTCATTTCTAATGGTGGTTATGAGCCTCGGGAGCCTTAAAAATGTAATGAAATACTGTATTTTTATTTTTAATTAAAAAAAACTTAAAATATTTACATAGTCCAATTTATTTTCTGAATCAGGTTTGCATAGTGTATAATACATGGTTCTATTACCCTGAAAATTAAAAAGGAGTTGTAAGTAGCTACAGCAGTAATTACCACATTTTTTTTCTAGGTCACTATTCTTTTCACTATACCAAACTGCTTTTTGCAATGTGTGAGAAGAAATAAATGTACACTGTAATACCACTGTAAAGTCGTTTTCAGTGTTTCTGCCGTAGCCAGTCCCTAGCATGATCCATGGCACAAAATAGTCTATAAAATAGTCCGTTTGTTGAAAGAGTGTTATAGGTGAGTACTTGTTACAGGAACATATTTTGGAGAATTATGTCCATAAAACACCAGTAGGGTTGAAACAACCTGGCTTAAGCCACACTGTGGTAATGTTTATGTACCTTTGTTTATGGACCTACAAAGGGAGCTATACTTCAGTTTGAACATTCTCAAAGGATTATTGGTGTTACATATTCAATTGTAATTAACCATTTTGGGTTTATTAAAGGGCTCAATTTAGTTTTTGGTAGAGCTCCATTTTTTTTTTATAGTAAGACCTCAATTTATGATATGAATAACATTTAAAAAAATTTAAATCCAATTAGCCAACGTATATTATATACTTAGTTTCAGATGTAGTGTTCAGTAGTCAGTTGTGTATAACACCCAGTGCTATGAGTAACATTTTTAAGTAAACACTACTTTGAAGGAGTTACCCAGTATTTGATTTCTTTATTTAATATTTTGTCATGGTCCCAGAACATTGTCCCCCAAAGGACCTATTTTCCTCCTCAGTATTTATATGCTTCTGCTAAAAAAAATCTCTGCATTACAAATCTTAGGAATTAAGAAATTGCCAAGCACTTATATGTTCCTATTAAAACCATTTCAGGAATTCATTTATGCCTAATATGTCTTACATAAGATTATTACATTTTGGGCCTTTTTCCTTTTAGAAAAACAGTTTTCTTAGAGACTGTGTAGCAAGGGAATAATAATAGATTGTAAAATGTGGGCATTTACTCTTGACAGCTGGGCCCAGTGTAAGTAGTTTAGTATAAACATCATCGAGCATTGCAGAAGAGTAGGTCAGAAGATTCAAAGGTTAGGTCTTCCTGAATTTCATAAATTAAGAGAGCCTAATTGGTTATCTTCTTAATATTTAAATATTTTCTTAATACCTGCATAATAGCTTTAAAAGAGTGTAGTGTCATAAATGTCATTCTTTATAGAAATTAAGAAACATTTAAGTTTCTGTGTATCTCCTCTGTGTATGTTCTTCCCTAAATCAACCAAAATACCTAGTTTTCTATTTAAATGTAATTCAGAATAGTCAGCACTTCATTCAAAATTTGTCTTCAACATCAGTAGTATTTAAAAAATATATTTTAGTTTATTTATAATTGCCAAAATGAAGAAATTAATAGTGTAGGAAATAGTGATAAAAGTGAAAATCCTCACTTTCAACTGACCACACTTTCCTGGTCTCCAGATAAGTATTTTGTTGAATCCTTCCCCAACTACTACTGTGCTTGCTTCTTAAATTGTTACACACTCAGTTCTAGGATTTGGCTTTTACTCAAGACCTCTGTATAGATCTTTATTCTTTTTTATGGCCAGGTATGATGTTCCATAAATTATCTAGTCATTCCCTACTGGTTCACATTGTTTACAGATTTGCTGATTAATACAGCAGCATCCTTGAAAATATAGTTGGAGAGATTTCTATATTGTAGTCTCCTGGGAGGGATGATTAGCTGATTTAAAGAGTTAAATGAGTTGTGTCTATTTTAAGTTTCGGTATTGCCAAAATGTTTTCCTGAAAAGGTGCTGCCAACATAAACTGTCAACTGGATGTGAATGTGTTTTTCCCCTTCAGTGTACCAATACTTAATATTATCAACCTTTAAATTTTAGTCAGTCTGAGGTGGAAAAGTGGGTTATGAGAATTTCCTGGGTTTGATTCTCAGTTCAACTGAAAACTTTGTGGTTTTGGAGAAGTTGAACTCCTTGTGTCTGTTTTTTCATTTGTAAAATGGCATGCTGTTATTACTTGATAGGATTTTATACTCCTTGTTTTGATGAGCATGGTTTGAAAGAGTACAGTCTTAATCTTTATATCTTTTTACCCCCCTTTTTAAAAAATATTTATTTTATTTTTTATTTTTTTTAAAGATTTTATTTATTTGACAGAGGGAGACACAGTGAGAGAGGGAACACAAGCAGGGGGAGTGGGAGAGGGAGAAGCAGCAGGCTCCCTGCTGAGCAGGGAGCCCGCGGGCTTGATCCCAGGACCCTGAGATCATGGCCTCAACCGAAGGCAGACGCTTAACGACTGAGCCACCCAGGCGCCCCAAAAAGATTTATTTTAGAGCATGCAAACAAATGGGGGAGGGGCAGAAAGAGGGGGACACAAGCAGACTCCCTGCTGAGCGTGGAGCCCAACTTGGGGCTGTGTCCTATGACCCTGAGATCATGACCTGAGCCGAAATCAAGAGTCTTAAATGACTGAGCCACCCAGGTGCCCCTATATCTTCTTATCCTGTTAAACCCACTCTAGATGCATCCTTTCTTGTCATT